GGGACTGCAGGCACCTAAAGTCCTCCATCGAAGAAAGGATAGTTGAGAATCCCCTCGAATGCTAGATACGACTCCCACTCATGACAGCACTGCAGATGAGTACACTCGAAGTCCCTGAGATGTGGTGAGCGTGGCCGCGAACTTCAATACTAAACGTGACGGTGGCCGTGTTTTTAAAGAGATATTTTTATGACACAACTCTAGGTCATGTCTCTGTCCAACAATCAACAAGATGACAGCTTGTCTCAAATTGAAATATCCCACGAGTAACCCGTTCTGGCCATGTTCGAATGCCACGCCTACCCGTCTCAGGGATAAGGAGTGTAAAAGTGGAAATTCCGAGGTCAAATGGGCGCAGGCGCATCACTACATAGGGAGAGGCAGGGATAAATTCTGAATAGACCAATCTGCACTACCGCAGGGCAAAAATATTGGAAAACCTGCGTGAGATTGAACTCTTTGTTCCGTCACATCAGACTAATCGATGATGTATGACTGCCTATGAAATTTGAGGATTTCCTCTACAATTGGGAAGGAGGGGGAAGAGTTGGGAGTGGGAGTTTTGTAAACTCCTGTCACCTTGACCAGCAATGAATGATAGTAGCGATGTGATATGCGAAGGAACTATACCGCTTTCATTTTAAGCTGCCCTCGTACCAAGGAGTGGCTTAACAGAGCGACAAAGGGCCAGGTTTGAAGCTGACCAATACCTATGAAAATGTGAAGCAGCGAGAAAACTTTAGAGACTGAGGACCACGCTACAAGGACGCCTACGAATTGCTTGAGCGAAGGGACTGTCTCAAGTGACGTCGTTAAAGTGCTGGTGACTCCATCCACGTTGGTACTATTTGTGTTTCCTGCTCTCTTGAATACTCTTTCGCTGCTCTTTCTCTCTCTCAAAATCCCTTTGACTCTTCGAACTTCACTTAAAACGGAAAAGACCTTACTTGGGACACTTCGTAAGTCTCTTCACCTTGTTCCAATCTTCAACCTTGTTTTATACAGGCAAATCAATTAACTTATAAAATCCTGCTTTCGATCCCATTATCTACGATGTTATTAACGGTTATTATTATTCATTCCACCTTGTCAGTACTAAGCGAGGTACTGTTGACAACACGTAGTCAGTCGTTGATAAAGGTCACATCAGTCGGGGGGTTTCAACGACGGTGGAATGCAGGCTCACGCTCCCCTCACACGTGGTTGTTTTCTTTCTGTATCGATACTAAGCGATCGCCTATTTTGGTAGACAATGCAGCAGGGGGCGGTCTCATCGCCCCTCGTGCCACCGCCCGGCTGATTGCGACCTTATCAACTATGAATCAATTCTATTTCAGAATGAACATTGGTCTTGCCATTCTCTTCGTTACTTATGCAGTGTTCTGCGTAGTTTCCGGAGAACAAAAGCCTAAATGTATAATTCCTCCAAAACCAGCATTCCTCAGCAAAGTCGACGACGCCGCTCGTAAGCAATTCTTCGCCATTGTTAGGAACCCTAACCTAACTTCAGATCAGAAGAAGACCCAAGTAATCGAGTTCGCCAAGAAACATGGATTTGAGGTACAAGTACCATTTCACAAGTAAAAAGGCAGGAAAAAAAATATATGTTCTTGATGAAGGGCAGGCTACTTTCCTTACGCTGCGCCACTCTTCTAGTCCGGCCAGGTTGTTATCGAATTTCTTCTCCTCTGAATTAGATTCGAAGTAAACCGGCACTATTCACCCTTTACGGAATCGAGCCATTTTCTAACCGACTTTCTCTCTGTGGACAGATTTAGCTCAGATGTTGTCTCCTGGGCAGTTTGGCATCCTGAGTGAGAATACCACATCGACCTGGACCGAAACCTCCTAGCGCCCGCGCTGGGGGCACCGATGGTTTGAAGTATTTTGGCGCTGGAGTCGGGTGTGGCCCCTGTGGGACAAATTTTCTACAAATTTGGTGATTCAGGGCATTTCGGCTCCGGCAACTGTGGCGCGGCCGCTAGGAGGTTTTCGGCCAAGCTGGTGAGATATACATGTTTGAAAGGTCAATTTACCCCAGAAGACAAGTTTTCAGCCAAATTCTGCTCACTTAGAAAAAAGTCGGTCAAAAACTGGCTAGATTTTGGATGGTTGGGGCAGTAAAGGGTAAATAGTGTCAAAATTTGTACCCGAAGTCAACTTTAATTCGTCCCTCCCCTCCAACGCACGGATATAGCATGGAAAGCACCTGCAGATCGCGTCAGCAACGTCACTGCAGCAGGAACATTCCATATCTGTGAGAAGCAGAGGCATGTCCACTACTGGGTCGAGGGACTCATGAAAAGGAGGAAGGAGACCAATATATAGCAGAAACGATCACAAGATCCGAAGCAAGAGGAGTGGCTGCATCGAATGCGCCGTCACGCCCCTTCCTGCCCTCCGATACTTGAAAGCTTCGGTATCGGCGTCCGTATTGCGCGTGGCAGGCTTCCTCACATGAAGCTAGGTGACATTGGTTTAGAGGTTCAAACACTTTTTGAGGCAAAGTTCTAGCCAGACATACCCGCAAGGTAAATTTGATCAAAATCTGGCCGTAATTTTGAAGAATGGCGTGGCAAGGGGCGAATAGTTACACCTAGACCAGCACCTTCTTTTCATAGTGGCTAGTTTTGTTCCGATGTGTTATTTGGCATATCGTCAGCTGAAAGAGATCCACAAGGAATGATCAAGAGCTCTTGGGAAAAAAGGGGAGCTGGAAGTTTTCAAAAAGGGAATTAGTAACATCTTGCTG